GTATCTTTCATTTGGCGTAAATAAAAAGCTTAATTAATACAATGTATTTGTGCTCTTTCTGGTTTATCTCCCCTTTCTCCTCTCCCCAAGACAACCACCCTCCAGAATTGCTTTCTTTCATACCCATGCATTCATTTAAACTTTCCTTCCGTGTGAATGTATTCATAACAGTATAATATAATTTCACAAGGCTTCAGCATTCATATAAATACTGCCAGTAGTCTTTTGCAACTTACTTTTTAATGCATTATGTTTTTGAGATTAATAAGTATTGATATGTGTACCTATATTTTATTTATTTTCAATATTGTGTGAATATTCCATAATTTATTTGCCCATATTCCTGTTGACAGACATTTTGTTTCCTACTTTTTTCTAGCACAATGTCATGTGAACATTCTTGTACATGTTTCCTTAAGCACAGGAAAAGCAGCTGGGTATGCACCTAAATCTGTCCACCAGTGTGTACGTGTTAATGAGCATTAGAAATTGACAAAGCATTCTCTACACTAGTGGTAGCAATTTCTATTCCTAAATTGTGAATTGAAAGTTCTTTCGCCATTAACACCCTTAACAACATTTTAATGTAAGTCTTTGTAAAGTTCACCAATCTGATGGGTAAGCAATAGTTTCTCACTGTGCATATAGTGATTTTCAGAAGCATGGACTGTGTTGTGTGAGGATCTTCGAGTGATGATAATTTTGGAGTATTTGTAATTCACCACGCACATTCTCTAACCTTGTGTTATCAATATTTCTTTGACACAACTTAAGATTGGTCCCTAGAGGAATCAAATTACACAACATAACATTTCTATAATCTTTTCAAGTCTGTCTCCATGTTCAAGTCCCTAACCCTCAACCTTTCAAGGATTGGTAGGAGGTGGGTGTATGGTATCCCCAGAACACTGCCAATGATGTCAGACTCCCAGGCAATGTGTGTCAGGGACACTCTAAGTGTTGCTATTGCCTTCTTTCCACCCACACTAGGCAAATCACCAGCCCATTCCTAGCAGAATATGAAAGATGCAGACGTGTGCTAGGGCTTCAACTTAGATCTTGTCTTTGAAAGACAGAGACTAGATATAAATAGGGTTTTTTAAAATAATTGCTGCAACTATGGCAACTTTAAATGTGAGCATAGCTTTCATTTTAAATAGGATTAGTCATGTGGAAATATCATCTAGGTAGTGTGATCATACATTCACTCAATAAGCATTTTAGAGCAAAATACATATAAGCTACCAATGGTGTTCCCAAGCTCATGGTACAGACAGACACACAAATGAATAATACAATGCCACAGATCTTTACAAAGGAGATAAATAATGTATCTTTTTAAAAATCCCAGATAGACAAAGAAATGGAAAAGCAAAATATTGACTGATTCGTAACAGGATTTCAACCCATGCTCAAAGAGAAGATGAAGAAAAGTCAGGAACAAAATAAAAGCTGAATTTGTTTATGAGTTCTAATATTTTGTATCCGATTACATGTCTGAGTTTAAACTTCAGACTCACCATTTTCTACATGTGTGACCCTGGGAAAGTTAAGTATACTGTCTCTAAGCTTCAGTTTCCTAACCAATAAAATATGAAAAAGATAAGAGTATATGCTTCTTAAGGCTATTGTTGTGAATACATCTATTAATAGATATAAAGTGCTTAAATGATTCACATGAATATTAAAAATATATAAATTAATTACTCTAGGGTCACTCAGAAACATTAAATGGAGTAGTGTGAAGTTTCATCCCTAATGTCAATTTCATGATTTATTTCTGTATTTCTTAATGTCCCCCAAATAATCTAGAAACAAATGATTACATACAAAATCACGGGTTTCAGTCACTTTTAGACTTCTTGGATTTCTGTGTCTATTTAAGATTTTGACTTCAGCTGCATATCTGAATCAGATCTCAAGCCACATTAAACTTCTAATTTTGTTCCTTTTATAGAATGTCAGAACATTTGTCCACTGTGCATCATAGATGCTTTAATCTCTGCTCTACTTTCTGAGTCTTTTATATCTCGTTCTGCCTCTGGGAAAGGTATTTTCTCTCTTTTCCTTTAGATATCATTGTTGAAGCTTTGTGTCTAACTGTTCTAAAAACTTAATATCTTCACAACGGCTTCTTTGCTTTTGAATGCCACTATTAGGGGGATGGAGGAGATAAATATAGAATATTTCTTTTTCATGTAGTAGTCTTGAGAGCCTCAACCTTGTGGCAGTTGCCAGCAGTAGGTTTTTGCAAACCATTCTTTGTGCTTTTATGAAACCTGGACCAGGCTGTCATGTGAGCAAAACAGCCACTGGCAGTGCTCCTCTGCGAGCTTTCTCTAACCTTTCCTGTCCTCTCTGCTTCCTGGACATACCATACCCAAGTGGGACATTGCATGACAGAAGGAAAAGCAAGAATAATCTAAATTGTAAAATAGGAAGAGTAAGGTCAGGAAAGAAGGAGTGAGAGTAAAAGGGAGAAGAAGTGAGAGTGAAGCAAGACATCAACATTCTTTTAAAATTTGCTCTATGCCTGATAATGGGCCACATGCTTTATATACACAATGTCATTTCATTCTCAAAGACTATTAGAGGAGGTTCCATTATCCCTAGTTAACAGGTGATGTAATCGAGAATCAGATATCCAGTAACCGTTCAAGCTCATGTAGCTAGCAGGTGATGGGATTAGGAAGTAACCCCAGGTTTTCAGTTAAAACACCCTATTCTTTTATGTTCTACAAAGAGGAAGAGTCCATGGGTGTGTACTATGTGAGATGGGGAGGGACTGAGTGGTGGCTTGAAGACTCCCTTAGCAAAGACTTAGGGAGGTCCCTTTGCAAAGTAAATGGATATTTTCGAGGTGGGGAAGGTAACTAACTCACACATAGATACTCTGTGATATTGTTTCCCAGTTGTTGGCAGAAATATTTTATAAAACTCTTGGGTGCCAAAGTATTTGTTTTCTCATGGTAAATCAATAATAACAAATAGTTATTATTACTTCACATTGAACCACAAGCAAAAGAGACACTGAGAATTATACGTGCTCATTAATTCATTGAGTCTGAAAGAATTCACTGAGTGTTCATTGAGTACCTACGATATGCATAGAAGAGTGCTAGGCACCGTTGTAAGTACACAAGCTTACAATATCCATAGGTGCCAGAATGCATTTCAGTAGCCTTAAATTATGTAATTTTGAAAATAAGGTTAAATATGTTGTCTTGGAAGTGTAGCATTGAAGAAATAAAATTTAATCAGGGTGTTGATAGAATGGTAGGCTATAGATAGGCAGAGAGGTGAGAAGAAAGGCATTCCAGGGAGACAGTGGAAAAAAAAAACAAAAACACAAAGTCAGTGGTGCAGACCTTGTTTACGCTTTGAAGAGGCTAGCTTGGAATTACATGGGAATGATGGCTATGTGTCATAACTTATGTTTAAAAATGTACCAACTCCCAGACATGGCAACTTTCACTATTTATTCTCTGAGTGTGTATGACTTTGTGATGGTGAATCTAGCAGATGCAATTTTAAAATTTGCTGCTTATGAAAAATATACTTATTTGAAGCAAAGGATAGTTAGTCATCGGTCAAGCTGTGAGTTTCTTGCAAGCAAGACTGATCTCTAGATTATCAGTTATAAACCAAAGAATGTGATTATTGGAAAGTAATGATGGAGGTGTTTATTTTGCTACTTTCTGATGACTCCACAATGAAATTAAATGAAAAGTCCAAGTACTTACTCCCTGCATGTCTGTAAACCTCCCTTTCACTCCATTTCAGTTCTCTTCAGCACTAAACTGATCCACAAAGGAGCAATGGAAAACTATGTCTATGGCTAAAAGACATTCTTATGCTACTCATTAATATTCCTTTGGGATAAATATTCAGAGAAGCTTCTACAATATAATTATGCTCCAAGGGAACTCAATTATATTTTTGAGTTCTTATGGAGGTTACTTTTCATAAGAAACATAGCATTCAGTACCTGATCAGAAGTAAGGGTGATACCTTGCCTCACAAACACAAAAGCCAAGATGCAAGGACAGTTATGAATATGCTACATGGTTTGTCTCTTGGCAAGAAGAGGTTGTTGTGAAGCTTGAACTCAAGCCAGTGAGAAGCTCCAAGTTGGCATGGGACAGGAAGAGGAAAAAGCAGTGAATTTTGCATCAGAAGCCATGAGCGCCAGTTCTGACTCTGCCACTATTCTGTCCCAGAGATTCTGACCACTTCTCTGAGCCACTGTTTCTTATTTTGCATAATGAGAGAGTAATACTGCACAGCACAGTTGCGGGGCTTACAACTCTCATGTGTGGAAATGCTGTGAAAACTATAGAGTATGAAGTAAAACTATAAAGTACTAGACACTCAAAGTTTAATGCTATTGTGATTAAAAGGGACTCAAGTGAACTGTGCCTAAATTAACACTTAAGGCTATCCTGCATCTGTAGAATTTCTGGCACCTTTCACCTCTCTCTGATGGACAAATTGCTGAGGGCTGAATATCAAAAACAGCAGGGTTGAAACTGTTCATGGATTTTACTACCTTACAGAGTTTTAAAACTGTGCTTGTTAGAGGACACTGTGTATGGATAATTATATCATTATAATTGACTGTGAAGTATATTTTAGTTGTTAGTATGAATTACTTTCAGTCTAAGAATTAATATCATGCTCACATCTACATTGTTTAGATGTGGGGACTACTCCAAGATAACAGGTCATAAAAGCACCAGTGTGAGTTGTCAGGCAGAAATGCATAAAAATATGCATTTATCAGCCACATGGAAGCTGGCTTCCTAGTTATTGAATTAATTAGCATTGAGTTAAAAATGTAAATTAATTTGAATCACATTCCCCTTCAGTATTCTCATATCTTAATGAAAGTAGGAAGGTAAATAGCAGGAAAGATCATTTTAAAAAATAAAATATTATTTGGGTATGGGTTATTATTGTTGCTATTATATGTGACAGTATCATGACACATTCACACATGATAAGTCTTAAACAACTTTAATTTTATTTGGAGGAATCCACAGCTTCTTTTGGGTCCAGATATTGCATGTTGTTTTAACTAACTCTGAAAAATTGCTGAATATTTTAAATGAAATAACACCTATTGCAATAAGAAGTCATTGTATACTAGCTCTCTATAACAAAGGCTAATAAAATCTTTTCCTGAAGCTAGAACCATATTTTGAAACTTTGTTTCATACAAATATTTTGCTATGCATTAAATTATATAGCATTTATACCTTGCCTTATAATCAGATGCTAAAGAAGGATATATACCATCTAACAAGATCCAATTAATTTTAAATCTGTCGATTATAGTCTGATTTATTAAGAGCACATTCACACTTCATGAAATAAATGCATTGTTAAAGAATGTCTCCCCAGATAGATCACAAATCATTTATTAAATTTCATGCACATCTATCTAAATAGAGGCTAATGCACTTGGAGTCAGGGCAGGATTTCCTACACTTTCTTGACTTTTGCAAGTGATGTGTCTCTTTGTGACCCATCTGAATGTTCATCAGCTTTTCTTACTGTTCTTCAGTGTAGCTTGGATGCATTCAAGGTAGCACAGTTACGCTGTCCTGAAGTATTGGTCCATCAGCAGCTGATAACCAGTATGTCTCAGGGCAATTGGTCAGAGAGAACAGGGAAGAAGAAAGTCAGAGCTTCTGTGTTTGACAGTACCCCTGCTTATTCAGGAAGCACTACGAAGTACATCTATGCTATACTTTAGAGCTATTATTTGTTTATCTATTTACCAAATACATGTAGCATATATTTAGTATACATTTCTCTAAATGTAGAGGCATCTGTATTTTAGGAGTATCTTATTCTTTTTATTCTTACTATTTTTCTGATGCACATTGTTCTTTTTCTAATTGATGTACATTCTTAGTTATCAAATTAGCACATGAAGAGTACAGAACTGCATTGCAGAATTGCAGTAATTTGGATCCCTTTTAGTGCTTTTTTTCAACATCCCTTCACCACAGCTAGAGAAAACTGGATCAGATCAAAACTCTGGAGTTTCTCAGTTCTTAAGCGGTGACTCCCTGACTATGCTTAACGCTCCATATTCTCATGAAACCAGCTTTAAGAAGCTGGTTTAACATATGCAGTTGCTATGAAAGGATCAGATAACCCCATAAAGAGTTCTTTCAAGAAGTAGAAACTGACTTGAGAGAGGAACCATACACTGGAAAATGGTTGTACCTAAAAACATTTAAGACCCTTGCCATCTTTGATGCTCTATTCTCTAATTCGACTGAGATTACTCTGCTGTCTTAGCCTAGGTTTCCCCTTTGGATGACCGACCAAGGCAAGGACTTTTGAAGGCAGGCAATTAATTTTGGGAGTGGTTCTAGGGAAACTGGAGTGAGGGCAGGGATGGGTAGAGAAAATCCAAGGGTGCTTTGTGAATTGGTGATGTTTTAAGCTTGATCCTGTTGGAACTCTGTGAGAAGCTGGGCAGAATGTGTCTCAGTACTATTAATTCAAAGGACGAGGATCATGTGCATGTGTCTTAGGCATGCTGGGCATGCTCCCCTCCGCATCCCAAAGAGTCCTTTATTCACAAAATATCATGAATACCTTGAGAGAAATTGACAATCCCCAGAATTCAGTGTTAGAACAATACTCTCCCTGTGGAGTGGAAATGAAGAGCTTTCCTCAGCAGTTTACTCTACATATGCTAGATGATGTTGCATTTCTATTGCTATTAATGTTACTTTTATTATCAGAAGTAACTGAATTCTGGAATATATTTTTGGATAGTCAATTCCATCCTTTCATTATTCAAATGAGAAAAGTAAGGCTCAGAAATATAAGATAAATTCTAAAATCACACAGCAATTCAGAGAAAGAGTCTATTTTTATTCTAAAAGATTTCTTGACTTTTTTTGTTTAAGCCTTGTCCTCCATGCTTCACTGCTTTCAAAATAATACAAAAAGCATTGAACCAAGGTTTTATTTTAGCCATATTTGATTTCTGAGTTCCAGGACTCGTAGGGATGATGTAATCAGCCACTATATACCAGTGACAGTGTTTGCAAGGAGCCATATTTTGGTAAACATCACTATTCACCAGTGTCTATTCTCTTTAACTTCTAGATACGTGAAGATTCCAATTTTCTGCATAAGCATGTAACTAATTCTAGAAAATAAAATGTGAATGGAAGCTGTATCTATAACTTCTGTGTCAAAAATTTATACTTGAATCTTTAGTCTTCTCTTTCTCTAACATATTACTGGAGATTATATAATTATGGCCTCTATAAATAGGTGAAGCCTCACTCAACTGGACTTCTTGAAACACCAAAACAGAACCTCCCTTCCAGTCTGTACAGAGGATGTAGTATGATCAAGATACTGGCTTTTGTTGTTTTAAACCAGTGAAATTTGGGGGCTGTTCATAGGATATCATAGGATAATAGCTGTTATCCTATCATATCAGTTGTTCATGTCATAGGATAACAGCCTATTACAACTAATACATTTTGAGAGCAAGGTAATTATTTTATACTTCTTGAATCACTCTCATCTTTTATTGATTGTTGATCTTGTTCGGATAAAATCTGGATTTTTTTATGTGATAGTGTCTAAATAGCTGTTAAATTTCCCAGCAACTGATGCTGATATTAAAAATGATTTGCCTCTCTGTGGTAACTGTGAGAACACACCTCATAGATCTGTATATAGGAGGCATGTAATTAACCAAGGGCCTTAACCCCTACGCTCTAAAAATCCAACCTTATATTTGTTCCAAGGAAATGTTTCTTATGAACTACTTCTAACCTGTGACTACCTATGTTAGAGATACTAGAGCAGGCATGTTCTTGGAAGACCCAGTACTCCTCTGACAGCTAACTCAGGCTCAAGAACTTCCTGATGACCTTGACAAATCTTCCTGAGACTGCATGTTAGCCTAAGACCCTCAGACCACACCTTCCCTGCCTGTCTCTTTCATTACAGATCAGACTCTGCATTGCAGTCTGACTACTCTCCTAGATTATTCTGCTTCATCCCGTTTTTTCTCACATAGGCATTTTTCCTAATAAACTGAATGTATGCTTAACCCTATCTTGACATTGACCTCTTTGAGAATATGGAGTTACACATTCTGTATGTTGTAACTAAGACTTCTCCAAAATACCAATTCTTTATGGGGCTGCCTATCGCTGATTCACTATCTTTGAATTACTAATTTTCTTTACTTTAAAGCCAAAATGTTTAGAGCTAGAAAATGCTTAGAGAGCTGGTCCAAGTTTCTCCAAATGTATATCAATTGCATCCAAACCAGCTGGGATGCTTGTTTAAATGTGTTGAGACCTGCTGAATAGGACCTGAAAACCTAAATTTATAAACTGGCTCCCCCAGGTGATTCTTAATGCACATTATGGAAAGTCACTAATTGAATTCACATAGAATTAAAATCTAGTGAAAGGAATAAAGTAATCCAAATTACTCAGTAAATTAAAGTCAAATTTGGTCTATACATCTCCAGCCTCTAATGTTAGTACATTATTTGTATATTACACCAATTACATTGCAAAGCTAGAGAAGCCCTCACCCTCAGAGCTTTTGATAAGTTAAGTAATCAAAACTTACAGGAAAGATATTTAACTTCTTTGGCACACATGACACCTGTCATTGCCTAATGAAGTCTGACAGAGTCATCTAGCCACTTTCAAAGACTTGGCTAAGATGGTGACCAACAGTCATGAGCAATAAATGAGGGAGATATTTAAAACTGTTTTTGTAAAAACATAAATCTCTAAAACCTTCACAGCTAATGAAATGAATTAAAAAAGAACTTGAAATTACATCTGTGGGCATATTTTGGGATAGGCTTTTGAGTGTTCAGTTGATTTAATGTTTATTTTAACCATTTGAAATAATGAGGTTATGAAGAAGTGAGTCTAGTTATTAGGACCAGTTTAAGAACTAAATTAGATTTGTTGTGTACAACTAATCAATCCAATAAAACCAATCGATGATTTCATTGATCTAAGTTAGTTAAATTTCAGGTCCTATAGAAAAATATGATGGTAAATTGAAAAGAATCTTGATAATTGGAAAAAATCACTCATTAAAATAAAAGAAAGTAAACAAACATTAAAAATATAACAAGGACAAAGCTACAGCTTATTAGAATGTGTACATTAAGGATAAGGACCAAATTACAGAGTTTGAATGGGCATTTATGTGGCAAAAATTACATTTGAAATCAAAATCTATGAGAAAATTAAAGTAAATGTTTATAATCAATAAACACAAAATTCAAGCATGACTAATAAACCACAATCGAGACAGGAGTTAATACTTTATAGTCAACATTACATCAGCATATATTAATATTTTACTCAATTGAACTTTAAATTTGAAAGAGAATAGCAAAAAGCATTCATTGTTTCCAAAGAGATAAGGATGTGGATCTGCAAGAAAAATGTAAAGATATTGGTCTTGTTTATCCCAGAATAGCAAAATACAAATCTGTTCTTCTCATGAGGAAAACTCTTATTAGTGACATGGAAGCACTTAAATATAAAAAGACATGAATTATAGAAAGTAAGTTCAGGAGAGTAGAAAATTTAACACTGAGAAAGAGTAAGCTCCATAAGAATAGAAATCACATGAATTTCATTCACCATTGAATATTTAACACAAAGAACAGAGCCTGACACCTACTAAGCACTCAAACAGTGAATAAATGAATGAATGAATCTATGTTTTTATCTTTGGAAATCTAAGAGAAGTTGTCTACCATGCAAAGAAGTGGAATTTAAAATAAAAATCAATTCAAGTCCATACACACACACACACACACACACACACAATTCTGTGGTATAAGTTTGGGTCCTATATTTAAGAGTGATTGGTATGTTCCATGTTATTGGTCTAAATAATCACTTACCTTACTGGGTTTCATTATCAATTAAGATAATAAAAGCAGAGAGAAAGAGAGGTAGGAAGATAATGTAGAAAAATTATATTCATTGAAAGAGCATTCATGGATTTAGAAAATTACTTTGGAAAGTTATTGCAATAACAACAGCAGGAGTATGGAAAATACTCTGAATGAACTAGCCATTTTTTAAATGATTCTTTATTAATAATCCTCTTGTACCATGCAATTTCACCAAGTAGATTATCTACTAATAGGAAGATAACTGCAAAAGAGATAGGTCCAAGCCATAGCTACAGTTGGTTTTATTTTTTGTCACAACCATGTTTTAAATGTTAACTATAATATAGATATTCCTTTCCACATACATGTATTTATATACACACACACCACACCCCTCCTTCCCTCATCCAACTAACACAACTTCCTGATGCTTAGTGGGCATTTTTAAGTATCTGTGGTTTCTGAGTTGAAGAGGTAGACAAAAATAACCCTGTCATAGAATCAAAGCCCCTTTCTTTAAATATACCAGGTTGCAAAAATCACATATTGAAGAATGCATCCTTGGAGTACTTGTAACCAATCTCTATTTATCTGACATCATCAGGACAATGAAAAAACATAACTATTATACCTGAATTCTGGGAATCGAGAGAGTAGAGTCAGATCAAGAATGTCCAGGGAAGAGAGAAGTTCCTCTGATTTGGAAAACTGGCACTACATAGCTCTGGGCAAGGGAACACCTTTCTGTATTTAATGTTTTCATAGCAATCCAAACTTTGTAACCTTTAAATTGACCTTGCCTGAGGTACATAGTCCTTATCATTTTAGCCTGGAACTCCCACTCTTCACAGTTAACACTGAGTATAGGGAATTCCTGAGAAGCACTGTGACTGACTTCAAGTTAAGAATCCTGCCAATGTAAGTACATTGTCACTACTACTTAGAACATTCAAATCAGTAAGAAACACTCTCCTGAACCAAGTTTCTTTTTCACTTGTCACTGTTTTCTGTTCAAACAAATTATCAGAAGAAAGATATTTCACCCAGAATATGCTATGTTATATTCATTCTATTATTTAGACAGTAGTCCCCACTTCTCTGCAGAGGATGCATTCCATGACCCCTAGTGGATGCCTGAAATTGCGGATAGCACTGAATCTGATTGTCATCAATCGGAACACATTTCTGCTCATGTCTTCCAACAGCAAATTTAGTGCCTTTTGCATTTTAAGTAGCACTTATGTACTGTGGCTGTAACATTTACAGTTTGAAGTGAGACAACAAAACTAGCATAAATTTACCTTTCATTCTTTACAAATTTAGGAATAGATGATCCATTCTTACATTAGATCTTAGCAACCTCAGTATGCAATATTTTTTCTTTCCTTATTAATTTGAGAACTTTCACCTTTTATCTTAAAGGATGTACCTATGGCTTCTCTTTGGCATATCTGAATTCCCAGCATCACTACTTTTGAGCTTTGCAGTCATTTTAAGCAAAACAAGTGTTGCTTGAACATAAGTGATGCTGTGTGATATTACTGCAACAGTAGATGTGATCATAAAGATGGCTACTAAGTGACTAAGGGGTAGCTACATATAGCATGGAGATGCTGGACAAAGGGTGATTCACATCCTGGGTGGGATGAAGTAGGGCGGTGCGAGATTTTATTATGCTGCTCAAAACAGCACGAAATTTAAAACTTAGAATAGTCTATTTCTGGAATTTTCCATTTAATATTTTCAGACCACAGTTGACTGCGGGTAACTAAAACCACAGAAAGCGAGCCAAAGCTAAGGGGAGACAACCATACCATGTATACAATTATATTTTCAATATTTTCCTTATTTTAATGATTAAAAAGTACTTGTCCAACAAGTAGGAAAGGAAAAACACAATTCTGTGTTGCAAACCCATAAGAGTTCAATAGTAAATTCATATTTTGCTTATTTGTTTTTCAACTTTTCCCTGTCTTTCTTAATTCAACAAGATCAAAATTGTGACATATGACAACGAAAAATTCCTTAAGGTTTCTCTGCATAAATATCTTCTACTGGAAAATTAAAAACAAAATTGAAGTCAAGAGTCTTCTTCATTCTTTCTACATGTGTCTCAAAGACTTAGTTTCTTCCCATTTCACTCTATTTTGCCTTAGTAGTATCCAACATCTGAACTTTTTTACTTTCCTGGAGATTTGCTCATCAATATAAATATTTTCCCTGCAGTTTGTAACTACTAACTTTCTATCTTAAAGACAATCACTTTTGATTTCTTGACATCCCAATTTTATTCCTTCTTAAAGCATTTTATTTTCAATTCCTACCCATATTTCTATAGTATGTTAGTTACTTAACAGCAGCTGATGGAAATTGTAATGACAGCTGAGTCTGAATACTACAAAGATACACAGTGTGCTAAAGCCTGTTCTTTCTAATCTGAGGTTCACCATTAGGGCTTTTTTGTGGTCTACAAATATTAAATTCTATATTGATTTCATCTGAGACAGTGCACAATTATTGTTGCAGTTACTCCTTAAAAGCATCAGTAATTAGTTGCTTGTGTTCTATTAGTGCTTTTTCTAAATATACTGTTTAGATAAATATTACTCCTATGGAAATGAATGTTTCTATAGGTTTTTTCATAGCCAGAATAAACTAGGAGGAGTGTTTCCATTACAATATGTTACCCTGTAGAAATATAAAATAAAGGGAGGTTAAAAACCTTTACATGCAAATTTGAATAACAAATATTAGAGCATGGTTTTACTTTGGGCAGCATCTATTGGACATATGGGAAGCTCTTTTAGTTGGTTCTCTTCTGTTTTTCTTTTCTTTTTCTTTTTCATATATTTAGAATACATCAAATAGTTTTTAAAATAGAAAAAAGTCATGTTCATGTCTTCCACCCACGAATTTGCTGCATTTTATTTACATTTTAAATTTACATTTTATTATATATTTTATTTACCTAGAAGCTGTTTTTAAACTGATTATAATAACTATAAGAAGTATAGCAAATTTATGTCACTATTTATTTTCTCCTGGATAAAATGTGCATTTATTTAGGAAGAAATTTAAATTAAGTAAAAGAAAAAAATAATATTTTTAATTTTTAAAAGGATGCTTAAAATAAAAACATAAAAGTTCTAGCATTTTTTCACTTATTATGCCATAAATTTGTAAGTGCATTCTTTGGAGAAATAGCTTTCAGAAGACAAATGTACCCATATTTATATGGAACTTGACACATTGGTCAAATATTTAACCTGATTTAACATTTAATCAATGCAAGATTTTTTAATTATAGCCAATTATAAAATCATACAATTTTTAATTTTATCTTAGTATCCTCAACAATCTTAGAGCTTAATATTCTCATAGGCATTTTCATTTAAAAGCTAAGATTAAAATAAGTGATTTAAAATAGCTATTTTGTTCTGACAGCATAAAATAAAAAAAAATAGCTATTTTGTTCTGACACCATAAAATAAACAGAACTTTATTTTTACAAGATTTATTTAACAACCACATAGTTAATAGAAGCATTTTATTACATCAGCATTGATATATGCAACAACAGACTTCATGGCAAAGGTGTGTGTTTCAAAATAGGCAGCAATCTTGAAATTCATAATGTTGAATAACTACAAACGTACATTTATTTTAATCAATATAAACCCTATAACATAAAAATTTAAAAAGGTTTGAACCTTTAACAAAAATCTCTGTTTCATTTGGTAATTGATTTTCCATACTGAAAAACTCATTTTTAATGCAAATAACGTTTCTTCTGACTTTGCCCATGCTGCTACCATATCTGATTACTTCTACTCAGAGTGGGTTATTTTCTAAAGGAGGGTTTGCAAGCTGAGTGTGTGTGTATAAGTATATTGTAAAGGTTTTAAGGGCAAAAATAGTGTACACATTAAAATGAAGCAAATTTTTCTTCTTCTTTAAAATAATTCACTTTCTTATTTCAAAACTTAAAGCCTGGTCAAAATTTGGATTAATCACTGAAACAAAACAACAAAACAATTATTTACATCGAGACTTAATTTCTTTTTATTATTATCTTTTTAAACTAATGCAACAACATGTGCTCGGTATCTTTATTTTAATTAAGATTTCTCTCTTTATTAGATCTTAGTTATCTAGAGAAGTCAGGTCGTCTTCTCCACTCACCTGTTTACACAAAGGTTTTTCACTTCGACTTGCAACTTCGTATTTCCATATAAAATTCGAGAAAGGGTGGAGAAATATAACTACAGAAATAATCTGAAAATTTCAAAACACGGATTTTTCATTATCCTCCAGAATAGAAGATATCATCCAAGGAGTGCTCAAAATCAAAATCAGGTGGCCCTTTCAAAAGTAGAATGTGATGAGCGCTTTTACATTTCACAGATAAACGTTTCTAAGAGCTTAATGTTTCCTCCGCTTATTGCCACTGTGCCATCTGGCTTTTGTAACTGATGTCCTACCTCTTTGAGGCAGCAGAGGGCGTTCTGGCATTGTTGACACCGGATACCTCCCGGTGCACCGCGCTAGCATCTTGTTCCCAGGAAGGAAATAAACTATTTCCCTGGAGGGTTGTCCTTGAGTGTCTCAACGGGTCAAGCTGTTCCTAAATTATTCCGAGAAGCTTTAATTTCAGACCTAGATGAAAGTTGAGATTGTCAAAGGACTCCCACGGCACGCCGCACCGAAGTTCTCCAATTGCGAAGCCTGGGTTGTTTTATTGCAAAACTGCCGCACATAGAATTTCTTTCATAGCAGGAAAATTTGTAATGGGCATCAAACTGGATGATTATTTTCCAAAGAAATAGAAAGTACATAGTTTTAAAAATCTAGAAACATCACAGATCAATAGCCATTCGGTTTCATCTAGGCAACCGAATTACTACATTGTTTCCCTTTTTAAGCAGTATTTTAACCTCTCTCATATCACGTATTTCATTTCTATTTAGAAAGTAATTTTAAACTGATCAAGCCTTCTGAAGGACGAGTTTAGATTTTCCTAAACAGGTAGAATTAGGCTGAGGGGATTAGGTTTGCTCCTGTGAGGTAGTATGAACTCTAACGGAATCAGGCAGGACGATTTTGCAGCCCTGGACCAGCTTTGCGGATTACGCAAGATGTGGATGCAGGAGATCAGCGCAATTGGATGAATACTGGAAGGAAAGCAAGGCCGCCATGATAACGTGTAATGCTTTAAATTCATTTCCGCTTCCAACGACTGCTTTTAATTGGCACAAGAGGAATATTCCCAACCCTTTAATTTTGTAATTCGAGCAGCCCCTATTTTCCAGTGTGCTTTACCTACCCACTCCCAAATTGGATAAAATTAAATATAAACCAAAGTAATCGATGAATGTGAAAGACCTGACTTGCAGAGTTCTAAAATTTGAGGACAAATAAAATCCGTCCTGAGGCACGGGGTGAGAAGGCAGCTCTCTGAGGATACTGCACCTGGCCACTTTATTTCATGAATTTTAAGATATATTTATGTCCCGTGTAAAAAAAAAAAAAAAACTGAATGAACACATATCTTTTAGATCATTGTCAATGCATGGCCCATTGTTATACCTGGATCAAAATCGGTGTTGCTGCCGCTATTGTCCAACCTGAATTATTTTGTCTGTTACTAATTTTAACAGCTTTTATATTTGTGAATTTATAGACAAACTTAAGCAAACGTATAGAAATTTCTTTTAAGAAATAGCCAACCAGGCTGGCTACGAATTAGTAGATTTTCCGTCTCTCTCTCTCCCTTGCCATTTTGATTCATTACTTAGGGAATTTAAATTTGTATTGTTGGTATTAATATTTTCAATATCTAAGAACGATGAAATATGCTAAGAAATTTAGATTTTTAAAAAATATATCAATACTGACCCATCCAACCTTCGAGTCCTAAGGCGAATTTTCATTGCATAGGATTTAGTAAACTGCCCTGCCTCTTTCTGTCGCGGGAGCTATGAGGATGCGGCTGTGGTCGGTTTTTCCGCAGTGCGGGTTTCAGGCCTCCTGGCCCTCCAGTGCCTCCCGCCGGCAAGGATGAGCCGAGCAGGCTCCTGCGCACCGGAGCGGTCTGCAGAGCTCAGCCATCTGTACCCGTCTACTAAGGCTGCCCAGTTACCAAACCTGAACGAAAGTGGCAGCCTGCGTGGGTTCCTGCCCTGTTTCACCTGGTGGGTCCCCGACCCACCCCTTTCTAGTTAAGCCTCGAGGCCCACATTTGAGTCCATTGCACGTCCCTTTGGTGACCAAGTCAGCACTAAAATCCGCGGCTGACAACCTTATGTTTCTGTTTTAAGGAAGATGACTTAAGAAAGAAAAGGATAATAATAAAGCCTTCATTCTCCTCAATTTCCTTCTTGCAATCCTGCTCACTGAAGGATTTACGTTTCAGCCTAAAGTGGAAATTGTTTCCCCATATACGTATACTGAATGTATGTGTGCATTCCTACGTGAAGACCAAAAAGTATCAGGCAAGGGTAGCAACAGCTTGAGGGAACGATTTCAGTAAAATATTGTTTTGCTGTATGTGGCCTTTCTCTCTTTTTAAATGTTATTTTTCAAATTACCTAATATCTTACTCTTCTTTTGAGTAGGGACCGGACGGTCCTATTGCTTTTCCAGTTTGATTACAGAGAGAGAAAAGGGTCACGGTCAGCACCGCGGACAGCGCCAGGCAAGGAGGGCGCGGCTACTTTGGTGCATCCTCTTAGCCCCTGTCCTTTGTTCCCAGCCCCTGCAGGCCAAGGCAGAACAAAGACATCAAGGCTTGCTTTTTCGGCCTGGGCTTTTCTTTGGCTCCAAAGTCGTGGTGTGGAACTACTACCTCAACATAGTCCACCTCACTGGCTTCCAAATAAATTAATTTACCTAGTCCTTCTAAAGTTTCTGACCTGATCCTTTCCCCTTATCCCACTCCTTTGGCCGATTTGGACATTACGACAATGCCAAAACAAGAGAGTTATCTTGGCCTTTTAAAGCCAAGCATGGACGCCTCGAGATTGGGAAGAGAAAGGGAGAAGTCAAGGGGAAATGCGGGCGGCAGGTGTTCTTCAGATCTTTCCAAAGTTTGGACCTTTCATTTGCGGTTTCTTGCGCAGTGTGGTCAGGACCCTGTTAAATGTTACACCTCTCTCTTCCGTTTTGTTTTCCCAGCTTGGCCCAGGACTGCAGACAATCACACTCCGTTCTTAAAAGAACCAGTGCTTTCTAAATGCTTTAACTCTCTGGAATATTTGCACGGACGGGAACTACTGCTCTCCTGACAGCTGTCAATGAAGCTTCCCTAAAATTCTCCTCGGAGATTTGCCTGCGGATTTCCGCGGCTCTAATGGAAAAGTAAGAGCCTTTCCCTTTCGAACACTAGTTTGCTTCGAGAATCAGTCCGGGGTGGGGGTAGGGGGACATTTATGCGGCAAGTGATGGGTTCATCCTACCACCCCCTAAATTCCTTGCAATTGCCTTTTCCCCTTTCTGACCCTGAGATGCTTTGGTGTCTTTCAAGTGCAGCCGTAGGCTCCGCTCTTGGCATTCACCGCGTGCCTTAATTGTATGACATTAAATCAAGGTCCGCTGTGAACACGGAGGGCAGAGCCTCTGATCTTGATCCGGAAAGTATCAGACCCACTGCGACTACCACTCTTCTCTCCCTGCCCATCCCCCCGCCCCCCCGCCCCCGGCTCTGAGTCTCTACTCCCAGAGTCATAACTCATAAGCCCAGCTCCTGTCTCTGCTCATCTCTGACACATCTGCCAGAGCCACTGTTAATTAGTCTGTTCCGTGGAAGTGTAGACGAGTGCGTGTGTCTGCGTATGCATATGCATATATCTCCATGCCATTTACAGCACACGCCTAAAAACATACATACGCCTATAAATCTAGTTTTCAAATGACGGCGTGGATCCAAGTTAATTACCCCTCTGGTACAGATCTAATTTTGTAATAGTGTTATTTTACTGAATGCAATTAACCCAGTTGGTCCGCCCTGAATCCTTTCTAAGGCGCTTGTAAGGAATGGCAGGTTTTTAAGGACCACGCCATTGCATGTTCTCCGTCAGAATCGTTGCCAATCATTTTCTGCTGTCAGGGATGAAATCTAGCACATAAAAGAGAAAACAAACATGCCTGTGTGCCTGTAAGATAAACACACAGATATGCCTGGTCTCTGTGTCCTCTGATAACGTTACCGCGGGTTTGGTTGGGAGATTTTGGGAAAAGAGAGTCCGAGGGCGGGCTGGGTCATCTTTCTTTGTAATGCGGAAAAATTAACTCAACCGCACCTGCCTAGTCCCGAGAGAGCTGGGCGGCCCATCTGGTCTGGCTACGAGTTTGCTGCGGAGAGAAAAGGCTGCTCACTAAAGCTTTCCCACTGCCCGGGAGCGCGGAACTCGGGTCTGGGCCCGGAAGGGCGATTCGGCTCAGGGCAGCGCAGCCGACTCGCACTCCTCAGCCTGTGGCCAGAGTCTGCGGCTGGAAGCGCCTGGGCCGAGCGGAGGGAGGGCGAGCAGGAGAGAGGAAAGGGTGAGGGAAGTTGACCTCTACGGGCGGAGCCCTCTGCGCAGCGGGCAGGAGGCAGCGGGCGCGACGGCTCTTTTCATGGCGTCCCCTACGGCGTGGTCGGCCCGAGGGAAAGGCCCGCTCCCGCTCCAGAGTCCGAGGAAAGGAGAGAGAGCTGAGAGCTGGTCTTGCGCAGAGACCCCAGAATGCGCCCCTGAAAAACAGAATCAAAGCGCAGTGTTAGGGAGGTGGGAGAGAGGAGGGGGAGGGTGGGGAGCAGGGACACGAGGCGGGAGGGAGCACGCGAGGGACACAAGGTGACGAGAGGACAGGACCCCAGTCGGCCGGTCGCGACCTCCGTCCCCAGGCTTCAGGGGGACGCGGAGGGGATCCTGAGCCCACGGAGTGCGGGGCCCGCAGGCCGGGGGGAGGGGAGTGGTGCGGTGGCTGTGAGCGTAGGTCCGGTCTGCGGAAGTCCCAAAGAGGGTGCACGCGCTGCGGACACCTCCGAGTCCAGAGAAACGATTTCGGGAGCTGGAGCCGTGAAAACGCGCCCGCAGATGGTCCTTCTGTGCAGTTCCAGCCGTTCCCGCATTCTGCACCCCCTTTCCCCAGCCTCACCCCCTCCCTTAGACCACACGCCAGACCCGCACTCTCCAGTCTCCACCCCTCTTGGTTTAGGACCCTGCAAACTGCAAGAACGGCAAGAAAATCGAAAGGATCGATGAGAGAAAGAATTACATGCACCCATAGCCCTAGAAATCCAGAGTGAGACCTGCTAGCCCTGCTCAAACCTGGAGAGGACCAAAACGTTTTCAATCGCTGCTCAGCGCGTTCGCAGAGGAAAGAAGAGGCTGAGAGGCTTCCGTGGTATAAGGTGCTTTAAGGTGGGAGGTGGGGGTAGGGAGGGGGTGGGTCGGAGCAGTCCGGTCTTTCCCCCTCGCTTGCTGATCCAGAATTAGGGATTAATGGCTCGCTCCAGCCAAACAAATAAGGCATCTGCCTTCAGCACAAGAGGATTACACGGGCTGCTGACGTCACCAGTCAGACAGATGTTGGCTCCCAAAGTCCTGAGCAGCTCGCTGTGTCCTTGAAACCAAAGAGCCGCAGAAGGCTTGCAGCCCCCAATTGCAGAGTCTGGGTACAGCAGAGGGCAAGAGCCCTGCCCTTGCCGACAACCCCTTGGCGTCAACCCAGTGCCCGTAGGCAGCTCCCTAAGACGTCGAGCTTCCAGCCTCTCCAAGCGCTCCCTTCGCCGTCCTGCTGTCAAAACCCAAGCTCTCTCAAAACAAGCCAAAGTCACCGTTCTCAGTTGCCTCTCCCTAACATGGAGACAAGCGCCCACAACCCGTCGACACCTTATCTAGATCCCGCATTTAAGCTCTCGGGCTCCTGTTCACTCACACTTGGTTGGCCAAGTAACAGGAAAATAAGCACCTTAGGCCGGACAGAGCCCACGCTCCAGCTGAGGGACCGCCTCTTAATTACGTGCGCAAGCAGCAAAAGCAGAGCTAATCTGCATCTCCTCTTCTCAACCCCGCAGTCTTCCTTCCCCCCAGGCCAAGGTTTAGGTTTATGCTTAATCTTATCACGAATGCCATGCCGGACGAATGTGCCTTTCAAAACAATGACTCTTTGCCAACATAACTCAGCGTCCCAACCAGAGCCCTGGACCACCACTAGGTAAACCACGGGGACCTCACCATGGTCCTGATTAGGACATGGAAAAAATGTCATTGCATATTCTTCTCAAGTACTTTGAATACGTTGTCTAAAAATAAAATATTAAAATAAGTGTGTGTGTTCAAAATATATGTAGCATCTAATTCTAGCAACCTGCACATTCAAAGAACTGCAGTTTCATTTTATAGCCAAAGCTGATGAATAAAGATCAAAAATTACTTTATTTATAAATTCCAAGGTCCTTTTAAATTGACGTAATTTTAACTTAATTATAAACTATTTTAATTTTTCTAACCTGCATTCTGTTTTTGCTTTATATGATTTTCCAGGCCTTTACAGGTCACACTAAAGTCAGGTTATGAAATAAGCCAAAAGACACATCAAACTGGAAATTTAAATGAGCAATTTTGAATAAGTTATGTAATCCATAAATGAAATTGTTTTAAATGAATTTTAATTCTGTAAAGGAGTAAAGACTATTCAAACAATGTATAAAACAAAATAAGCTGATCTCCAGCACAGAGCCACACTGAACCAATCCTGTGCCCCAAATCTAAGCAGTATATATGAAAAAATCTGTGACTTTCTTGGAAAAAAAATAAATGCTTGCTCACAACATTGCACTGTCAGTTATAGAGTACAATGCCTACACAGGGGTAAAAGGAATAGCTGGATTATATCTCCATTCATATTATTCCTGTCTATCAAAGTGGCATTTAATTTTCCCAATTTTATGCATTTAGAAATTCAGTCACTGATAAAAATCAATTTAATTTTCTGTAGTGTCATTCAGCCAATGCCAGTCTGAAATAGTAAAATTTCTCTATCCCCATTCTGTTTCAAGGCCTTATGAAAAACATTCTACATCTATAAATGATAGATTTAAATTTTATATGTACCAGTACCAAAAGGTGGGCTTTATCTTATTTTAATTGGATAAATAATATATACTATTCAAGGCAGGATAAAAACTGAACACATAATCATTGTTTCTTTGAAACTTGGTAGAATAAGTTTGAAATGCCACATTTTACCAGTCTAAAATTCCTTTTAAAGACCAAAAAGATTATGTTTGACTTCTAACATGTTTTGAATGTAAACTTCCACTCAGGTCTCAACATTTTATTAGAGTCCTTTTTGCTCAGTGATTTAATATTAGTTCGCTGTCCATGGTCTTGATCCACATGAAAGGATATGCTAGTGTTACCTTTTGAAAAATGAAAGTCACAACGCTTCTGCACAAATTAGACTCCCTAGCATTTTAAAATGATATCAAAAGGGGGAAACGCTATAGGCTTTAAGTTCTCTTCCCCATCCCAGTTGTTTTCATTTTTCTATATTTGCCACCAAATTGAAGGTACAGGAAGCAGATAGGGAAAGTTTGCATTTCATTATTTTTGAGTTGACAAAACCACCACTCCATTGAAAGATCCAAATAATTGTAGTAAATAGGAAATAATATCTTTCAACCTGCAATATTCTTTTGGCGGTTTTCAAAAGAGACATAGACATTCTTGTATAGGCATCCTTTTCCACTTTTACATATGGTTTAACAAGTGCGGGAAAATTACAAAAATGACAAATTCAGGGGCAAAAGCCAAACAACCTTTTCAATCATTTCTCTCTCCATATTTACATCGCTATATAGAGGCATATAGATAGCACACACACACACACACACAGGCTAAGAGCATTAAACTAAATCCATCTCTAACGCCTTACATTTTTTTTTCTAGCAAAGCATATGTTCCAGTGGCTAAGATGAGGAATAATTCTTCCATCCAAAATAGCATTTCATCTTCAGTTTAAAAAACAAAAGACTGACCCGGCAGAGTAACATTTAACATCTCTTGGGGTTTCCTTGAGGGGGAGAAAGGAGAAAGGGAAAGAAATATTGCCTCTTTCAAAAATGTAATTGTCTTTCTTTTTTATTTTCTCCTTCACATTATCAGGAAAAATATGTTTTATATATGTATGTATATATGCATATTTAAATAGACACTTATTTTCCCAAACCCCAAGAGCCGCTGTTGATCTTTGGAGGACACCGATCAGCACAAACCGGTCATATCTGTGCTTTGATACAAGTATCCCAACGGTAAGAAAACAGGCCCTTGGTTTTAAACTGAGGTCGGCACCCACGCCAGGCCATGGGGCCGAGCCTCAGCGATTCACACTTTCCTGGGCGTGAGAAGGCTACTTTCTGAAGAAGTATTTCGAACTTGGGAAAATTCTGGTACCGGAAGAAAATGGCCTAAACACAATAGGACTCGCCATTTTCTCCTTGTGAAGCACAAAGCGCTTGGCGCTGCCCGCCACACAAAGAAAGCCTGGGCCCGCGGAATTCTTGCACATTTTCAAGAGGCCAAAAAATACCTTCTCAGAACCACAATTTCTCCCTCCTGGGCGCCGTGAGACACACCCTCTCTCCCACCTTCATTCAGTCCTGGTCCCAAGAAGATCCCTTATTTGAGATGGAGATAAAAGACGCACCGAAGGCGCGATGCTGGCGTGCGAGCCAACCTCGGCAAGAATAAGTCCTGAAAACCGAGGGGCCCGACCCGCGGCTGGCCGGGGCTCCATTCTAGGCCCGGGATGGGGAAACACGGGTACCCTTCCTCCTCTTCAGATCCCTCCTTCCAATTCCATTCTGTCCCCCAAGTGCGTCTGGGAGCCCGGCGAGCTTAGGGATCTCTGTGACCTGATTTCCATCCATTGCCAGGAACCAACCTTACAGCCCCGAGCTGAGCCGGCTGCTCTCAAGGATGCTTGCGACGCGGGAACTCCTCCACTCAGCGCCTCCCGCCGCCCCCCGCCCGCCACCCCAAGTCACCGCATCAAAGTCAACCAGGATCGTGTTCTGCACGCCCACAACCGGCGAAATGCTTCTCCCGCTCACATGCGAAAAGTGCAAGCTTCGAAGAAGCCCCTGTGAACCAAAACACAAGCAACAACCCGACTCACAAAGCGAACACTCCCAGCCCAGCCCGGGACGCAGAGCCCGGCTACAGCAGGAAAGGATGGTACTTACAGCCGGCGTGCGCTCGGGTAATCCGCGTCGCAGCCCGTGCGGTGGGTTAGTTGGCTTTTGAAAAAATCACTACACACCTCTACATCTTTGATTTTACACATTTTCCACCGGTGAGAAGGAACGAAAACAAGAATCTTGTAGCCTAGTGGGAATGGGGGAGGGGGATGGAGATTTTCATTGTCTACGCTCGGCACACGCAGCCCAAGGAAAGATGCTCACTGCCTTTGGAGCTCCTTCTACTTTCTGCTTGAAATTCAGAAGCTTTCAACGCAGTAAAGCGGGGGTTTGGTCTCCCTCCCTGCCTCCCTCCCTCTGCGTTCTCTCTCTCCTTTCTCTCTCTCTCTCTCTCTCTCTGTCTCTGCCCCCCCTCTGTCATTTCCTTCTCCCTCCTCTCCTCTCCCCTCCCTCTCTCTTCTCAAGCTCGAACTCTCTCTCTTTCTCTCTCTCTCTTGCTTTTTTTCAAAAGAGGGCAGGTCGCTTCCTGCATCCCAATGAGTTAAATCAGTCACTTACTTCTCATGCATCAGCAGCCTCTTTAACAACCCGAGGGCTGCAGGCACAAAAGAGCATTTAGCTGCCTCCAATTTGTGTAGAAGGCCTGTCCTTAATTTGTTTTTGGAGTATAATTAAATCATGTATTTCACGTAATATAAAAATACCGAATTCTCAACTTTAGTGAATGAACTGCTAATGGTAACCTTTGAAAATAAATCCCTCTTGTTGATGTTCTTATCAAGAGCCTAGAACGCCCCAGAATTGCAGAAGCCTAAGGTCTGGGCCCCAAACTACCTGCCCCTCCCCCCTTTCGCACGTCAAGGTCACAGTCATATGATCCCCCATTGCTTTAAAATGGAGTCTTTTTATCAACCCGTCGCCCTGGAAAGGAATTAAGTCTCTTTTATGGGGTGGGAAGATCTGAAGGATTAATAAATAAATAAATAAATACATCCTTAATCTGAAATACACACGTCAGCAGAATCAAGCCTGATCAGACATTGGGATGGTGGCGTGGGGGGACTGACAGGGCATGTGAGAGTGAGTGGTTTTCCTCTCCCCCTTATCCCCTGGCGAATTTTGAGGTCGCTGGGTTTTGCTTGGGTTTCTTTCAGCGGCTGCGTAGGCCTTCTGGGAGGACAAGGCCGGCGCCTTTTTAGCTCCCAGAGTATCTGAGGGGTTCTGATCTCCCGGACACCGCCCAATGGTCAGGGGGATCCTATGTATGACTCCCCCTCCTCTAAAGGGGCTGGGGTACAAAGAGCAACTCTGCCTTCCTGCAGTTTCTCTTTCAGGAAGAACTCCAGGCCTGGCCATTGTTCCTCCTCAATGAAGGGGGCCGAGGGTGACAACAGAGAGAGACCTTCTCTTCTCTACACTCACCATCCACCTCCTCCCTCACTCCACTCAAGGCCACTGCTGGGGAGAAATTTGGGAATATTTTCTGTTTCAGGAGAGACGCTTGTCTGGAAGATCATGAGATGTAATATCATGAATATCTCGGTTATCTTTGTATTTTCTTCAGTAACATTCCGTTAAGTCGTCAGTGGGCTCCCTCACCCCCTCCCATTTTCCAGTTCTCACAGCGCTTGTTCAGAAACATTGCACTCGGATGCGAGAGAGGTTAGGACCGCAGATAACCGCATTTAGTTTCATCGAAAGGGAATGTAACAATATAACTCACCACTTCCCGCCTCTGAATATTCGCTCTTCTACCCTAAATCGCCCTGGGGTTTTGAGTAAGGCCACATTTCACCTTGAGCATTTATCAAACCGTACTTGGCTGTTGCTGCTACTGCAGGAGGACGCACAGGCCGCCAACACCCACCTGACATCTGCTTGAAATATCCAACAATATTTCCAACGGGGTCGTTTGCAAAAAGCAGAAAACCAAAAATGAAAGAAGAATTTAAAAAAATACAGAAATAATATAAGTGTGTGTATAATATAATCCCAAGGTGTTGGGGTTGGGGGCTCCAATTACCTAAGACAAAACATCTCTGCGGTTGAGCCCAGACCAAAGGCCTCACCGCAAGGGTGTTTTATTAGCGGCGAGAGACCACGGTTTTTAGGAGGCACTACAAGAAATGCGCATCACCCCGCTGCCCTTTATCTCCCATCCATGATTCTCATTCTATCCGTTTCCAGTTTATTGACCTGGGATGCGGGACTGCAAAAGATCGTCAACGACTTGCTGAGCCTAGGGGAGGCAAAGTCACGCGGTGCGCACTGGGTCCCGCCGCGCGCACTGGGTCAGCCGCTGGGAAGGTGCGGCTCTCTGCTCTGGTTAGCAGCAGAATCTGCTCTGTGGGGTGACGACTTCAGACCACCCCGGGTGGGCACTTTACCCAGCATCCTCCCCTCTCCCCCGATTCTGAAAATGCTAGTTTTGCCTCATCTTCAAGGGCCTTAGAATTTCAACCTTGTTATTGGGGAGGCCTTAGGAAAGAACTCAAGCGGTGGGCGCGCTTCCCACGAATGGGCCTCTCCCTCGCCAGCGGCTTATTCTCAGTCGAGGCCTCAAAGGAAAACTTGAGAGAGATCACAGGCGAGCACCCCAACATTAGTCCAAGACTTTCACTCCCCCCACCTCAAACAGATGGCTGGGCCGTAACACCTGCACGGCAGCCACAGCCGCCGCCTCCGCGCAGCTCTCGGGATGGGGATCACAGACTCGGGTCCAATAAGGTCACCGGCCACCCTGGGCCCAAATCGCTCAACTCCACCCCACCTCACCCCACCCCCAGCCTTAAGAACCTTTTTCCAGACACTTTTCGCTTTCGATCCCCGCCTGGCGCCCTATGCCTAGGAAAGTGAGCGGGTGATTCCTTTCTAGCGTCAAGTTTCGGGTTTGCCCTGCTCTCAAACCTCCTCCTGCCCTGCGCACCTCGTCGCTCAGGCCTGGAACTTATGAAAATGTAACCCAACTCATTGCCAGAAGTTGTTGCTAATTAGTGGATAATAAACTTCTGTAGCCAGGGCACAAAAGTCTTTTAAAAGTGCAAAGGTGTTCTTTGTTATGGCATCAGAAAAGGGATTAGCATATCAATTGGACTGGGGGGACCGGACAATGAGCCTCCTCCCCCTGAGCTGCCTTCAGTTCGCCGCCTGCCGCCGCCTCCTCCTCTTTGTGTCCTTCCTCCTCTTCTTCTTCCTCTCGCTGCTCTGAGAGCTGTCAAGGCTTGGTCGGAGAGCTCTGGGCGGCGGGCTGGGACCGAACGGGCAGGCGCAGTGCACGCTTCCCGCCGCCCACCAGTCTCCGCGGCCTGCGCGGCGCCCACGTCCACGCCCTCGCCCCTCGCTCCACGCCCCTAGCTGGGGGCTCAGCCTAGCTCCGCGCCCAGGCGTGCACCTGGAGAAGGTGGAGGCGCGTAGGGACGCCGAGCCAAAGCGCAGCGGGTCTGGGCGGCCACAGGGCGTGGACAAGGCCTGCCTGGGTGGGCGGCCTCGCACTGTCCCACGATGCGCCCCCTCTCAATACTTGCGGCCCGGGCCCCGCAAGCCGGCGCCCTTCGCCTCCCCCAGGTGCGCAAAACACTAACCGATTTGCAGTGGTCTGCCCAAGGGCACAGCCTGCTCCCCACCCTTCTCCGGCCTCCACGCCAGACCTGCTGGGCTGGCGACCCACGCTTGCATGCGTTGGGGGGAAGTAAAGACCCCTAAGCCCGAGGCAACTGTTTCCTCGGGAGCTGTAGGTCGGTTCGGGTGGTCCCGGAGCAAGGTACCTGCCAAGGCGAAGCGGCTGGAGCGGCCCAGGCCCAAGCAGGCCTGGTTGTCTCCCCGCGACCCCGCCTCGCCCTGCTGCCCCCACCGGCACCCCCTGCCCCAAGCCAGTCCTGCTGAAGTCGGCTCCTCGGGCCGAGGCACAAATTAGAAAGCTTGCCCCGGGCCAGGTGCAGGAAAGCAAAGCATAAGTAAGTCTCCGGACTGAGATGCGGCCCTGGCGGGCAGGGCCTCGGCGACCATTCGCGCCGCGATCTTGCCCGGCTGCGTCCGCCCGGGAGCGCAGGGTAGAGGCGCTGGTGTCTGCGGGGCCGCCCAGGGCTCGGGGAGCGGAGGAGCAGGGAAAGGCTCGGGGGAGGAAGGTGAAAGGGGGACACTGGCAGCGACGGCGCGCTCTGCCCGCCTGCGGACTAGCCGGACCCGCCACTTCCCAGCCGGCCGCGAGTAGCTGCGGGCCGGGCCGACTGTCCCTTGGCCGCGAAGCCCGCGCCACCCCGGCAACGCTGGCGAAGAAACGCGCTCCTTCCTTTTTCTTCTTCTCCCCTCCCCCCTTCCCCTTTCTCCCTAGAGGCAGCTCCCGTCCTCTAAATGAATTTAAAAAAAAAAAAAAAAAAAAAAAAAAAAAAAGAAGAAGAAGAAGAAGAAAAAAGGAAATCTCTGGGGCTATCCTTTTTCTACCCGTCTCGCTTCCTCCTAACACTGGTGTTGGTCGATCAAGCGCCAAACTCACACAAGTTTCCCCGAAAACGAACAGCTTTAAATGCCGGGAGGGAAAATGTCGGGGGAAAAAGTGGACGTCGGTGTTTCCCTAAATGCAAAACATCAGAGAGGAATCTGAAAAGAGCTTTACTTTCCCTGCGAAATCTCCATTGTTGCTCAGCAAACAATGGGAGCCTGGGCGACTGGAGGGCTGTGCGAATGAATAGGCGATCCGCGGGATGTGTGCGGGTCAGTGCCTGGGGTCCCGGGCCTAAAGCCCCTTTCTCAGCTTGCCACAATAAACCAGCGCAAGGTTTAGTCCTTACTGGGTCACCGGCCATCCTCTATTATTCAACACTTCACAACAAAAAACACTTATTAATCAGCGCTGACCAGAGGCCCCTTTTGAAACAAGAGAAGAGGGGAGAGAGAGAGAGAGAGAGAGAGTGAGAGAGAGAGGGGTGAAAAGAAGATTGAGAAGCCCTGGACAGATCTTTCTAAAGCCAGAGCAACCATGGGGTACTTTCCTCCAGTGGCCAAAGTTTATTTGACACAACAAAGTTTCTAATCAGGCCACGGAGACCTGGATTTCTCCTCATTTGCCTCACTCCCGGTCTCTTCCTCTGAAGATGCTGGAGACTTTGTTGCAAGAAAGGATGGCTTTAGGTCATATTGCTGAGGCCTGATCTTAAAGATCTAATTGCTATTGGAAGAGAATCCTGTTTCCCAACTGGGCCTGCCCTCTGGAGATGGAGCAAGGAAGACTGTCCAACTCTGCTCTGGGCACCCTGCTGATGGATGAGGTGTCAGGCCAGTCGTCATGTGAGGACTGGTTTCCAAATGGTATGAGCAGTAGTCAAATGCGGTACTTATTGGTGATACTGAATGCAATCTGTAGATTTTCTGCTTCATGTTGTTTCAGGCCAGATATATGAAAAGACTAAACTTGCTTGCTAGAGTGAAGAGGAACTGATTATTCCTATGCTCAGACAAGAATTGAGGGGAAAGGATGTGATGAGTTTAGTTAGAGAGAAGAAAATGATTAAAAATGTTCCATACCACTAAAGTCAGTGGGTTCTTTGCTCAACTTTGGTAATTTTTACAGAGCTTATTTGATGTTTGTAACCTAATTTTTGTGTCTTTTATTTATCTGGTTACATGATAATTATGAACACAAGCTCAGACATATAAGGACCCTACTATACATCAAAGTGAAGTGCTACATACGTCAGTTTTA